CTGGGGAGTCATAACTTAGCTGGGGGCGAACTCTGGGCAGGGGTGGTCTGTGTTGGGGTCAGCTGCCACTAGGCCAGCCCCTTTGAGACTGCTGGGTCCCCCATTCCTCTGTGCCTGAGGCTTCCCTGGGGCGGAGGCACAGGAGGATTTTTGTTATTTTTTAAAGATAGGGTCTCGGTCTGTCACCCCAGCTAGAGTGCAGGGGTTTGATCACAGCTCACTGCAGCCTCGAGCTCCTGGGTTCAAGCCATTCTCTTGTGTCAGCTGGCTGAGTAGCTGGGAACACAGGCATGCACCACCACGCTTAGCTAATTAAAAAAATGTTTTTTGTAGAGATGGGCTCTTTCCATGTTGCCCAGGCTAGTCTCAAACTCCTGCCCACCTTGGCCTCCCAAAGTGCTGGGATTATAGGCAAGAGCTTCTGTGCCTCCCCAGCACCGGGATTTTCGAAGTGAGCTGTTTCCTGAGGCAGCCTCAGCCCCTGCTCACGGCAGCCACCAGTGTCACGGTGAATTCGTTCTGTTATTTTCATCCCTCCCTGTAGGCCAGTGCTTGGGTAAGAGGCAAAGCCCTGTGTTTCACTGTCTTGCCAGTGAAAATAGCTGGGAAGGAGGGAAGGAATGGGAGGAGGTTTCTCTCTCCTGTGCATACCCAGGCCCACGCACTTGTATGCATAGTACATGCACTGTTCTTTGGGAAACAGTGAAAAAAAAAACATGCACCACACGTGTGCACAAATCCCCCTGCCTTGCCAGGTCTATGTTCCAGACGCGGTGTCTGCTCACACGCGTGCCACATCCCTGCTGTGTGTCTGTCTCCAGGGTTCTAGCGGCAGTGGCTTGGCTGACGTGGCCACTCTGCTGGCCTGTTACGGGCTTTGCGTTCCTGTTCTGGCTGTTTGCGGCTCCGTTTCTGGGAATGGTGGTCACGTGCTTTCTCCCGTCCATTTCCCATTGATGTGCATGGTTCCCTGTGAGTTCAGAGAGACCCACGCCTGACCACAGGTCTTGCTGGACTTTTTCCATTGTCATGACAGGTTTGGTGAACGGACATTTCCTTGGTGTCAGATTTTTGTCCTGAGCTTGTGCCTCTCAACCAAGATGATAAACCTCGTCTTGTGTGTTTTCCAAACTGCACTGCAGCGCGACAAGCTCAGTGTCTGGGCTTCCATGCCTTCTGACGGCACCTGTGGGGGTGTGAAAGGCAGGATCCACCTTGATTTTTCCCAGCACGCCAGGCTGGTGGTTCTGCGCCGACCGAGCTGCTCGGCTTTTCCCGACTCCACGGAGCACCTGCTGCACTGCCGTTTTCCTCTCGTGTTTGTTGACCGTGTTTTGTCAGAAGTCCTGGTGTCAGCCAGAACCAATTTGTTCTTGTTTTTGTTTGTTTGTATTTATTCGTTTATTTTTAGTAGAGACAGTTTCACTAAATGTTGGCAAGGCTGCTCTCAAACTCCTGACCTCAGGCGATCCACCCGCCTCGGCCTCCCGGAGCGCTGGGGCTGCAGGTGTGAGCCACCGCGCCTGGCCTCTTGCTCTTTCAGCCTGCCTTCACATGTTCTCCACAATGCTTCTTGGAGTCAGCGTGTTGACTTCCTTTAAAAATCTGGCTGTGATTTTGACTGGAATGTGTTGACTGTTTTTCAGTCGGGGTCTCTGTCGCCCAGGCTGGAGTGCAGTGACTGGAATGTGCTGACTGTTTTTCAGTCGGGGTCTCTGTCGCCCAGGCTGGAGTGCAGTGGCACCGTCACGGCTCACCGCAGCCTCAGCGCAGCCTTCTGAGCAGCAGGAACCACGGGCACATGCCGCCATGCCTGGCTACTTTTTCTATTTTTTTTTTTTTTTTTTTTTTGGTAGAGACCCTGGGGTTGCACCATGTTGCCCAGGCTGGTCTCAGAAATGCTGGGTTCAAGCAGTTTGCTTCTCTCGGCTTCCCAGAATGCTGGCATTACAGGTGTGCACCACCATACTAGGCCACGTTGAATTTCTAGATTAATTTGGGGCCCTCAGGGACACAGAGAGGAGGGCAGGGCCCGTTGGCAAGGAGAGGCCCTGCTGGCTGCTGCATTTCCAGTGCGTGGAGGTGGACTGTGTGTGGGGAACACAGAGCTCACTGGGACACTGCTCAAGGAGGCATCAGGCAGGTGCCAGGTCTTGTCCCTTGGCCTGGCACTACATGGTGGCAGGGGTTGGTAAACCCATGACCCCCGGGTGTTGTCTGGCCTTCCATGTGTGGGGCTAGTGCTGTGGAAGGTCGGGTGGCCTCTAGGGCTCCGTGCCCTGGGGACGCTTGTGCACCGTGCAGGGCTCTGGGCTCTGGGCTCAGGCTCCTGACGGGGCTGCGCTTCCTCTTCCTTTCAGATCGTGTTCAGTGTGGACCCCTCTGAGGGCGGCCCTGGTTTCCTGGAGGGGCTGGGGGCCTTACGGTCCTATAAGGTAGGGGACCCCCCTCCAGGAGGCAGGTGGAGGTGGGGGTCCCATGGACCTGAACAGTAAGGGGCGGCCCCCAGGACGTGGGCAGGGCTCCACACACCTGGTCCTGTCCCCCCAGGTACACATCCATCCTGATGCCGGTCACCGGAGGGCAGCTCAGCGGTCTGACGCCTGGAGCACCACTGCAGCCAGAAAGCCAGGTATGGACCTGAGTCCACGCACTCCCCACCCGCCCAGGAGTGGCATCCGGCACCACCATGCCATGGCGAGGCACGCGGCCAGCCGGGGGTCTCCTGCCCCTCTGGGCCTGGCCACCTTCTCCATGTCCAAGCCTCTTGAGAGCCTCTCCTCACTGCCCCCCTGGGCCTGGCCACCTTCTCCGTGTCCAGGCCTCCTGAGAGCCTCGCCTCACTGCCCCCCTGGGCCTGGCCACCTTCTCCGTGTCCAGGCCTCCTGAGAGCCTCGCCTCACTGCCACTCTGAAAACTAGAGTTAGCTGACAGACCTAGGAGAGGGCCTGATAGCGCCATGACCTGCCCGAAGTCACGTGGTTGGTGGCGGCAGAGCCACAGTCCAGCCAGGCCTCTCTGCCAGGACATGCTCATTTATGCCCAGGCGGTCAGCACAGACCTGCGCAGTGAGGCCCAGCTCTCACGCCGGCCTCTACCTGGCACCTGGCCGGTCCCTGAGCTGCTGAGAGACCCTCGACCAAGCCTCGGTCCCATCCGAAGGCTGCCTGGCCGACCCCGTTGCCCGAAGCCCATGGCAAGCACAGGCCCCGAGGCTTCCCACGCTCTGTGGCTCTTGGAGTCGGAGCTACTGGGGATGCCATGTGGATGGGATCTGTGAGTGTCCCCTCAGCTCTGTGTCCAGAGCCCTCCATTCTTGGGGTGTGTCTGGCCCCACCCCCACTGTGTGGTGTCCAGTGGGGGGCTTCACAGCTGCAGTGGCGGAGCTACTGCTCCTTCCTTGTGCCCCAGTGGGGCCTTGTCCCTGGGCTTGGCTCATCCCTCTCTGGCACGTTCTGTGTCTGCTGCCATCTGCCAAACCACAGTGGCACAACATGGCCCTGGCTCAGGCAGCCCCAAGTGTGGTTGCAGTGGTTTGAGTCTGCCTGGAGGAGCCGAAAGGGAAGGGCTGAGGGGGCATCAGTGCCGGTGGCTTGACACTGCTCAGTGATGGCCTGTCCAGCGGGAAGGCTCCATCCTGTGAGGGAGACCAGCCCCTCACGCAGCTGGGGTTACGGGAGGCAGCCCGTGCCTGAGGCAGCTGGCAGCGCGCAGATCCCCAGGGCCTGGAATTTGTTCCATTGACTTCTCAGAAGCAGCCACTCCCTGTGTTGGGCGTTTGTAGGAAATGAGCTCCTAGAGGTGGGGAGGCAAGTTGGGGGGGAGGTGGAGGGGGGAGGGAGGGGGTTCCTCGTCACAGGGCACATTCAGCCCCAGGAAGCCGTGTTGCCTTTGTTAGGGAAGGTGCTTTGTCCCTGCCGGCCCACTCTTGACTTTAGAGTCACAGTCATTCTGCTAGTGCCGTGTGGATTCCCAAATTCCAGTGCACACACAGGCTCAGGCTCCTCCGCAGGCCACGGCCACCTCGGCCAGCCGGTCAGCCACTTCTGGGAACTCCTCTGAACCAGTGACGTTGTTCCCTGCTGACGCATCTCGGAGGCCTGCGCACACTTTCCCGCTTCCAAGCCGTCCCTCTTCCGCTGTGCTTCCTTGGAATACGGGCGCTGGCTGCTTCCTTCCCGTGTGCTCTTAGCAGGATGGGCTCCTTGCCCTGAGCCCCATGTCACCATTTCTGCAGAAGTTTAGTGTTAGAGTGGGCTGACCTCTCTGGAGGTGTCCCCAGTATCTGCCTGGGGTCGCCTCCTACTCCCAGGACCCCCAAGAGGGGCCCCCAGCTGGCAGGCTTTGCTCACACTTAGGGCAGTGTTCTTTGTTCTGACTTCTGCACACTGGGCCTGGGTGGCTTCGGGCGGCTCGCTTGCTTGGCAGTGGGTGGAGAGGGTGATGGGCAGAGAGGCAGGCGGTCAGGCCCCCAGTCCCGTCCTCACACCCTGCACCCCCCGCCTGCCACCCGCAGGGAAGGTGCTGAGCTACTGGTGCTTCAGTCCTGGCCACAGCATGCGCGAGCTGGTCCGCCAGGGCGTCCGTGCCCTCATCCTCACCAGCGGCACGCTGGCCCCGGTGTCCTCCTTTGCCCTGGAGATGCAGATGTACGGCCACCCTGCCAGGGGCCTCAGCACTGGTGACGCCGGTGATGCCAGTGGGGTGGGGGTGCTGGGGGGTCCCCATGAGCGGGGGTGCTGGGGTCTCGGGCCTCACGGGCTAAAGGGGTGCTGGTACATTTCCCCACTGTCCGCTCCCACTGGCCATGCTCAGCCCTTTCCCAGTCTGCCTGGAGAACCCACACATCATTGACAAGCACCAGATCTGGGTAGGGGTCGTTCCCAGAGGCCCGGACGGAGCCCAGTTGAGCTCTGCGTTTGACAGGCGGTAAGGGCCTGTCCCTGGGCCCTGCTGGGGTGGGAGGTGGGGGTGCTGAGCCCCAGGCCCTGAGCAGTGGCCTCTCCGCTCTGCAGGTTTTCTGAGGAGTGCTTGTCCTCCCTGGGGAAGGCTCTGGGTGAGTTCCCTGTGCCCCAGCTGTGCCCATCCCGAATCCTGGACCCCTGCTCCCAGGAGCTGGTAGGGACCCCGCAGACGCCCTCCCCTGCCTTGACCCTGGCTACGTCACTTGCAGGCAACATCGCCCGCGTGGTCCCCTGCGGGCTCCTCGTCTTCTTCCCTTCTTATCCCGTCATGGAAAAAAGCCTGGAGTTCTGGCGGGTGCGTCTCTCCCAGTGTCCTGGGCAGGGTGGGTGAGGGCAGGGCTGGAGCACAGAGCAGGTGGTGGCCACAGCCCCTGCCTGCCCTCATCAGATGGCGGGGTAACCAGGCCTACTGTGTCCCTGCCTCTTCCTCTCCCAGGCCCGAGACTTGGCCAGGAAGATAGAGGCACTGAAGCCACTGTTTGTGGAACCCAGGAGCAAAGTCAGCTTCTCTGAGGTCGGCACGTGGCCGAGGCTCTGGGCCCATTCCCCCGTGCCTCCCCTGCTCCTCACGGCCTTCCTGAGGCTGACCACCAGTCCTGACCCTGGCCCTGGCTGGCTCCCGGCTGCCTCTTCAGGGCTCCTGTGTTTCCTTCCTGGCCCTGGGTGTTGCCTCTTAGAAAGACCCCAGCACTGGGTGGGTGTGGTGATGGTGGCCCTCCTGTCTGACTAGTCCCAGCCAGCCACTCTAGCCCTGGGGTTCCCCATGTTTTCTGGGAAGCACTAAGCAGGTGCGGGGTCAGCCCGGGATCCGTGCCAGGAAGAAGCCTCCAGACCCCGATTGACCTTCCTGGCTAGGATGATCCTTCATTTTGGAGGATGAGACCTGGGTCTTCCTCATGGGGGAGGAAGGAGCCAGGGGTGCGCTCCAGGCTCAGTCTGACCGACTCTCCTTCTAGACCATTAGTGCTTACTACGAGAGGGTCACCGCTCCCGGGTCCACCGGCGCCGCCTTCCTGGCTGTGTGCCGGGGCAAGGTGAGCCATCTGGCCTCCGCCCTGATGTGGTTGCCTGTTCCCTGGTGGGTGCTCATGGCTCCCCAGCAGACTCTGTGCCCTGAGGGCTGCCTGGTCCCCTCCTCGGGTTCCACAACAGCGCAGCACTGCCGGCCCCGCTGGGAGCAGGTCCTGCTCAGGGCCGGGGGCAGGCAGGATGCAGGAGGTTCCTGGCCACAAGGAACTGTGGACCCCAAGTGGGGTCCTGACCCACAGATGGGGCTTTCTCTTACCCCTAGTTTGGGATGGTGCCTCGGGGAAGGTGGCCGGGCTGGGTGTGGGCAGCCAGAGGAGAGGCGCCAGCCCAGCCCCAGGCAGCTCCCTGGCCTGTCCCCTAGGCCAGCGAGGGGCTGGACTTCTCAGACACGAATGGCCGTGGTGTGATCATCACGGGCCTCCCATACCCCCCGCGCATGGATCCCCGGGTTGTCCTCAAGATGCAGTTCCTGGATGAGATGAAGGGCCAGGGTGGGGCTGGGGGCCAGGTGAGTTGCAGCAAGGTGGGGCTGGGGTAAGGCGGCCTGGTGACTGAGCCCCTCCCCCCGTGACCGAGCTGCCATGACAGCCCCCTGGCCCCACAGTTTCTCTCTGGGCAGGAATGGTACCGGCAGCAGGCGTCCAGGGCTGTGAACCAGGCCATCGGGCGAGTGATCCGGCACCGCCAGGACTACGGGGCTGTCTTCCTCTGTGACCACAGGTGCAGGCCCAGGGAGGCTCCCTCCCCCAACTGGGCCCCTGGACTCTCCCTCCCCCTATGAGGCCCCACCTCCCCCAGAGCCTCTCTGGCTACTCTGGGTCAGCCTGGGGCCCCTGCAGGCAGATGGGGGTCTTCACATTGGTGAACTGAGCCCCAGAAGTGGCTGTGGGCAAAGCGGCAGGGCTGTGCCCCCCCCCCCAGGTTCGCCTTTGCCGATGCCAGAGCCCAGCTGCCCTCCTGGGTACGCCCCCATGTCAGGGTGTACGACAACTTTGGCCACGTCATCCGAGACGTGGTCCAGTTCTTCCGTGTTGCTGAGCGAACTGTGAGTTCCTGCCCAGGGAGGGGGTGAGGGTCTTGTCCCCAGAGGGGCCAGAAACAGGCCCACCCACCCCCACGGTTCTGCAGATGCCAGCACCGGCCCCCCGGGCTGCAGCATCCAGCTTGAGTGAGAAAGAAGATGCTGTCAGGGTGGCCAAGTCGCCTGGCGCCCTCCTTTCCACCAGGAAAGCTAAGAGTCTGGACCTGCATGTCCCCAGCCTGAAGCAGAAGCCCTCCGGTACGGGCGGGTGGTGCCAGGCGCCCGGGTTGAGGCGGCTCACCCGGGTTTATGCACCGTCCCTCCCACCTGCAAAGGCTGTTGCTCCCTCCCAGGGTGGGGCCCCCAGGGGCTGGAACCCTCCCCTACAGGCAGAGAATGCCCCAGGCAAGGATGCCCCCCAGGACCCTCCTAGGCAGGGTCCCCCAAATACTGGGACTGTCCCCCAGTAGGGCCTTCCCCACAGGCAGGGGCCCCTGTGGGTGTCAGCGGGCACTGGGGTGCTTCTGCAGGGTCGCCAACTGTTGAGGACCCGGAGGGCAGCCTGTGTGTGGAGTATGAGCAGGAGTCTGTCCCTGCCGGGCAGAGGCCCAAAGGGCTGCTGGCTGCCCTGGAGCACAGCGAGCAGCAGGCTGGGGGCCCCGGCGAGGAGCAGGTATGGTTCCAGAGCCTTGGGATGGACACAGACCCTCTGTCTCCTGAGGCCAACCCCACCCTGCCCATCTGGCCTCAAGACGCCTCCCCACATGCCCCTGTAAATCCCCTGCCTGGTGGGCACATCACTTGGCTCAGTGCACGCAAGGTCGGGCGTCCCTGCCACTGGCCACACCTGAGGCTGCACTCTCCAGGAATGTGCTGTGCCTGGGACCCAGGTTTCTTCTTCCTTGGGGCGTTTTGCCCTAGACACCCATAATTTCTCAGGCCGACCAGAAGCTTGCTTCCTGCTTCCTGCTGGGAGCCGTTCCCCTCTTCCTGCCCGTCCCTGCCCTTCAGGTCCCTGGAGTGAACCCCAGGTGCAGACACCAGGCACCCATGTCCTCTTCCTGCCAGCCCGTCCACTGTGGTCAGACTCCTCTCTGGACCTGCTCTTACATGACGCCACCTGCCAGCCTCATGAGTCGGTGGCGTGGCTTGGAAAGGACTGGGTTTTGGCACTGTCACCAGGGTGCTCCGTGAGCCCTCCCCCGGCCTCCACTCACCAGGGTGCTCTGTGAGCCCTCCCCCGGCCTCTGGCTTGGCTACTTGGGGCCCCAGGGTGCCATCTTCCCTGTGGGCCCAGGTACATGTCTCAGGTGCTTTGGGGCCCCAAGGGTGTGGTTAGAACCACAGCCGTGTCCTCCTCAGGCCCACAGGCACTCCACCCTGTCCCTCCCACCTGAGAAGAGGCTGGCAGAGGAGCCACGAGCAGGGAGGAGGAAGATCCGGCTGGTCAGCCACCCGGTGCGTGAGCAGTGCCTGCACCTGTGCTGGCTTCCTGGTCTCCTCGGTGCCCCCGGCCAAGTTGGGATGTGGCCTGACGGGACCAGGGAAGCCACCCCAGGAGCTGATGTTCAGGGCAGCTGTGATGCTGGCAGGCTGGGGGCTCAAGTGTGCAGTTTCTTCCCAGCTGGAATCAGGCCCCACCTTTGGGCAGGCTTGGCTCTGGCGTTTCCCTTAAGTGTGTTCGAGTACCTGCCCCATGTGAGGGCGCAGCCTATTCCCAGCCTGGGATGAAAGAACTGAGTTACAGCCGGAGCCAGGAAGCCCCCTGCCTGCTGGAAAGCCCCAACTGCGGCAGCCTTTGTCCCTGTCCCTTGGCTTCTGGGAAGAACTGGGTGGTGCCATCAGGAAGTGGTGGCTGCTGAGGGGCCTGGGTGGGGAGTCCCTCGGCCGCCCCTGCCTTGGGGTGTGCAGAGATGGGCACTGCACATTGGGAAGCCCCTTCCTGTGAGCTCCCGTCCTGGGAGCCTCAGCTGCATCCGCTGTGGGGGCAGGGGTCTTGAGCGAGGAGGGAGATGGGCCCTGCAGGACCCCCAGCTGGAGGGAGAGCCCATCTCTGCCCATTCGCTGCTCTCAGTTCCCTACCAGCCTCTGACTGTGTGATCTGAGACAGGCCCAGCCCCGCCCAGCACCAAGGCCTTCTTCCCGCAGCACCTCCCTATGCCCACCCAGCCAGCCAGTGTCTGAGGCAGCAGCCCGAACCCCACCCCCTGCAATCACTGTTCCAGGGAACCTTCAGTGCTCCAGGGAAGGCTCTGCAGCCCCAGGTGGGATGGTGAGGCTGACCCTGACGGAGCCTTGGGCCTGTGTCCTACAGGAGGAGCCCGTGGCTGGTCCACAGGTGGACAGGGCCAAGCTCTTCATGGTGGCTGTGAAGCAGGAGCTGAGCCAGGCCAACTTTGCCACTTTCACCCAGGCCCTGCAGGACTACAAGGGCTCCGATGACTTCACTGCCCTGGTGGCCTGTCTCCGCCCCCTCTTTGCTGAGGACCCCAAGAAGCACAGCCTGCTCCAAGGTGCCCTGGCCTGCAGAGGCCACCCACCCTGAGGGCCATGCTGCCACTGTGCGTGGTGGGGGCTGACGGGACAGATACTTCCTTCACAGGTTTCTACCAGTTTGTGAGGCCCCACCACAAGCAGCAGTTTGAGGAGGTTTGCATCCAGCTAACAGGACGAAGCTGTGGCTATCGGCCTGAGCACAGCATTCCCCGAAGGCAGCAGGCACAGCCAGCTCTGGACCCCACTGGTAAGTGGGGCCCCCATGGGAACCTCAGACTCCTATGAGGAAGGCAGGGTGGTACTGCGGTCCTGGGGTGCCTCTGTTTCCGTATGAGAGTGATGGGGGCCACCTCCAGCAGCAGCAGCATCACTTATTGGGGAGACCCTGTGCAACTCCTTGCACTTCCTCTGCCCCCCCATGCATGGCCCTGTCCCTCCCATAGCCCCTGACCCCCCATGCACTGCACTGTCCAACGCTCACATGGCCTTGTCCCTCTTATAGCCCCCTGTCCCCCAGGCATGGCCCTGGGGGGTCAGCTGCACATGCCAGGGTGCTAGAACCCCAGACCCTATCCTCCCTACTCCTGCCTCTGCCTGGGGTGGAGTCCAAGCCTCCAGGGGCAGGAGCATCTGTGTTCATGCTTAAGGAACAGCCCCACAGAGTTCCCCTAGTGCAGGGTTCACCCCAGCAGGGAGCCTAGCTTTTTGGGAAGACCCCAGACCCCTTCTGGACTGGGTGCTCACTGGAGTGTCCTCACACCTTACCCACCCCAAGGCTCTAAGCTCCTGAGCGGGGCTTTGTTCTGCCCGCCACTGTTCCAGCCCCAGTCCAGCAGGAATGGTGGCTCCTCCACTGCCCCTGCCACCTGCGTGTGTGCCTGTCTGGGTTTCCCCTCCCTGGTCTGAAGAGGGTGAGGCCCCTTCAGCCAGCCCTGCCCCCTACCCCGGGGAACTTTCCAGATGTGGCTCTGTGTCTCTTCATCAGGAAGGATGGCACCGGATCCCAAGCTGACCCTGTCCAAGGCTGCGGCCCAGCAGCTGGACCCCAGAGAGCACCTGAACCAGGGCGGGCCCCACCTGACCCCCACGCCACCCCCCAAAGGTAGCTGGCTCCTGAGCCACGTGCAGCCTACGAGTTTGTGGGGCCCTCGGTTCTCGGCGAGGCTCGCGCCTGATGTGGCCTCAGAGCCTTTGAGCTGCAGCTACCGGTGGTGCCCCCGCTGTGGTGAGCTATCACCTGGTGGGGGCTGCTCCCGGTTCCACACCCCAAGGCCATCCTGAGCAGCAATCCAGGAATTCCTGAGAGGAAGGGCAGGCAGGGTGGTGGGACTCTCAGCCCTTCGCCCCAGTGCCACTGAGCCGTGCTACTCCCACACCAGGGGACCCTGACAGCCACCCACAGTGGGGGTCTGGAGCACGCAGAGCAGGGAAGCAGGGCCAGCGCGCCGTGAGTGCCTACCTGGCAGATGCCCGCCAGGCCCTGGGGTCTGCAGGCTGTAGCCAGCTCCTGGCAGCGCTGAGAGCCTACAAGCAGGATGACGACCTGGACAAGGTGCTGGCCGTGCTGGCTGCCCTGACCACCGAGAGGCCTGAGGACTTCCCCCTGCTGCAGAGCAAGTGGCCCCAGGGTGCAGCGGGTGGCGCAGAAAGTGGTGGGCAGGGTGGGGCCGTGCAGGGTCTGAGCGAAGTCCCCTGCAGGGTTCAGCATGTTCGTGCGTCCACACCACAAGCAGCACTTCTTGCAGACGTGCACAGACCTGACTGGCTGGCCCCACAGGGATACAGAGCTGCCGGGACCCCAGGAGGAGAGCCGTGGCATGCCTCCTGTGCTCGCTCACCGGACTCGCCGACCAGGTGGGGTGCCTGCCTGTCTGCTCCTGACGGCGCCCCAACCCCATGCCACCTTGGGAGTGAGCAGCAAAGCCCCAGGCACCCCTCAGACTGACTTATTTGCCTCCAGGCCCCTCATGGCCAGAGAAGGCCGGGAAGACGCAGAGCAAGATCTCGTCCTTCCTTAGACAGAGGCCGGCGGGGGCTGTGGAGGCGGACGGTTCAGCGGCAGGGCCCAGCCAGTCCTCCAGACCTCCCCACGGGCCTGCAGCATCTGAGTGGGGTGAGCCTCATGGGAGAGGCCTCGCTGGGCAGCAGGCCGCGGGAGCTCCGGGAGGAGGGCCCCTCTCAGCGGGCTGTGTGTGTCGGGGCTGCAGGGCGGAGGACGTGGTGCCCTTCCGGTGCCCTGCCTGTGACTTCCAGCGCTGCCAGGCCTGTTGGCAACGGCACCTTCAGGTTGGTGCCTGGCTGCTGCAGTCCCTGCCGGGCGTGGCCTCAGGTGGCGGGCTGAGGGGGAGAGGGCAGGCCCTTGGCCCGGGGGTGGTGCCTGGCAGGCATGTCCAGTAGGCTGCTTGTCTCCACAGGCCTCTAGAACGTGCCCAGCCTGCCACAACGCCTGCAGGAGGCAGAGCATCATGCAGGTCTTCTGGCCGGAGCCCCAGTGAGTGCCCATGGAGGCCGTCAGCACGCCCGATGTGGCTTGATCACCTGCTTGTCCAGCTCCAGTGGGCCAAGAACCCACCCAACAGAACAGGCCCACCTGTGCCTGCCTGGCCTGTTGCAGGTGCCCGGCAGGTGGGGCCCATGGTTGGTCACTGCAGTGGAGCAAGATCTGGACTTGCCTCTGAGAAGCCCTGAGCTACCTTAGAGTCTGGGGTGGGTTTCTGGGAAAGTGTTTCCCAGAACTTTCCCTGGCTCCTAGCCTGTGAGTGGTACTCAAGAGGCGTCCCAGCTGAGCCCCTGACAGGAAGGAGGCTCCTGTGGGCATGTGTCCATTTTTATTTGGGACAGGGCTCTCTAATAAAACTGCTGGCAGTGCCCAGGATGGTGTTTTCATGGCTGGGGGTTGGTGGAGGGATTTGAGGGTGCACAGAGGAACAGGGAGTTGGCAAAGTTGCCTCCCAGCCTGCCCTGTGACACGTACTTTCTCCACAGTGGGCTCAGCCCTGCCCTTGTCCTCACAGCTGCAGCCAAGCTGCAGTTTGTGAGGGACCCACCAACACCCCGGGCCATCTGGCCTGGCTGCTGGGTCAGGAGCTGCCCCAGGTGCTGAGAAGGGTGGTTCCTTGGCTGGTGAGGCCCCTGTCTGGGGAGGGATAGCGCCAGGTGGGTGAGGGGGCTGCCTGGGGAAGGAGGGGTTCCCATGGGGCATGACGAGGCCGGCCCCGCCCTCTACGCCCATATAGGGCTGCAGCAGGACGGGCTTGGGGACTGGGGGAGGAGGAGGGGGCGTGCTGGTCAGGCACGGCAGGGTCCGGTATCTGCACTGAGCCTCACTCTCCCTGCTCCAGCGAGGACCATGAGGGCACTGGAGGGGCCAGGCCTGTCCCTGCTGTGCTCGGCATGGGTGCTGCCCACCCTGCTGTTGGTGATGGCCACACGAGGAGCGGCAGAAGCACCCACCTACCCCCGGCGAGACCCAGAGACAGGAGAGTGGCTGGAGTGCGCCCAGTGCCCCCCAGGCACCTTTGTGCAGCACCCGTGCCGCCGAGACAGCCCCACAATGTGTGGCCCCTGTCCACCGCGCCACTACACACAGTTCTGGAACTACCTGGAGCGCTGCCGCTACTGTAACGTCCTCTGCGGGGAGCGAGAGGAGGAGGCGAGGCCCTGCCAAGCCACCCACAACCGCGTCTGCCGCTGCCGAGCCGGCTTCTTCGCACACGCTGGTTTCTGCCTGGAGCACACGCCGTGTCCACCTGGCGCCGGCGTGACTGCCCTGGGTGAGAGGCGGTCGAGGGGAGGGTCCCCCTCCGGGGAGTGGTGGCCAGAGGTGTGGCGGGTGGTGTTGCCACTCCCAGGCTTGCACCCTGAGCGAGGACACCAGTTCCCCTGACCCTGTTCTCCCCTCCTGGCCGCAGGCACCCCCAGCCAGAATACACAGTGCCAGCTATGCCCCCCAGGCACCTTCTCAGCCAGCAGTTCCAGCTCAGAGCAGTGCCAACCCCACCGAAACTGCACGGCCCTGGGCCTGGCCCTCACTGTGCCGGGCTCCTCCACCCATGACACCCTGTGCACCAGCTGCACCAGCTTCCCCCTCAGTACCACGTTACCAGGTGGGCCGGGTGAGCCAGGTGAGCGGAGGACCTGCCAGCTGGGCTCGCTCTGGGAAGGGCCCACGGCAGATTTAAGGGGTCAGGGGTCCCTGCCTTAGATCCCCACCAAGGCCACCACCTCAGGGGTGGCTGAGGATCAGGATCCAAGCTGGCACAGTCTCCTCTGGGGAGCACTTGGAAGGTGGGTGGCACACTCCCCTAACTGCTCCAGAGGAAGGTGGCTGCCTGCTCCGACATGGGGAAACCGAGGTCCAATGGCAACCACTGTTGAGAAGTCGCCGGGGGAAGTGACCCCCTTAAGTCAAGACAGGTCCAGTCCATCTGGGGGTCCCAGCTCGCCCCTCCCAGTGACCCAGGAGCCCCAAGCCCCTGCCTGGGCCCTGTTGCCTCTCCCAGCCCCGCTCCTCCAAGCAGTCGCTCCCGCCCTCAGGCCTTTGCCCCAGCGAGCGCTGACTCTGAAAGCAAGGTATCTGGCAGGCCCCCACCAGCCTGTCTGGAAATGACTGGACCCTGCCTCCCCTCCTCCTGCAGGAACGGAGGAGTGCGAGCGCGCCCTTATTGACTTCGTGACTTTCCAGGATGTCTCCATCAAGAAGCTGCAGCGGCTGCAGCAGGCCCTCGAGGGCCTTGGGGGCTGGGGTCCCGCACCAAGGGCGGGCCGAGTGGCCTTGCGGCTGAAGCTGCAGCAGCGGCTCAAGGAGCTCCTGGAGGTGGGGGACGGAACGCTGCTGGTGCGGCTGCTGCGGGCGCTGCGCGTGGCCAGACTGCCCGGGCTGGAGCGGAACATCCGTGAGCGCTTCCTCCCCGCACACTGAGCCTGGCCCCCTTGCCCCCCTTATTTATTGTACATCCTTGGCCCCCACATGCACTAAAAAGAGGCTTAAAACTTTTTTTCTTAAAAAATGAGGTTTCTTAAAGCCATTCCGTAAAACTGGTTGTGGCCTGTTGTGCAGCCGCTGGGACAGCAGCGGGGCCGCCTGAGCTGCCCGGATCCCTCAGGCTCCCACCACAGCTGCTGCCTGGAGCTTCCCCTTCCGGGGTCAGTCAGTGGGCAGCACCCCCCTCTGCTCCCTGCTGGCTGTGGCGTGTGGCGGGGTCCCCAAAGCTCATGGTGGTTGACCTGGGTGGGCATACCTGCTGGATGAACAGGGCAGGGCTCAGGCTGGCCTGTCATCGGGGCCCCACACTAACCCCCCCACCCCCCTTGAGTTCCTCCCATTCCCAACTCGGGATTTCCTGAGAGGGGACCTGCCAGAGACCACCCCCAGGCATCCCGTGCGCTTCCTGGGAAGTGAGGCTTTTCACCTCTGGGGCAGGCTCTGAAGTCTCCAGAAACATCCAGAGCAACTGGGGCCTGCCTCAGCCACACACCCCTCCCCAGCGTGGTCAGACATCCCTGTGGCTGGAGGCCCAGCCCTCCCACAGGTCCTAGGAATCAACCTTTGGGACATGCACAGGCCCCCCCGCCCCACCCAGAGATGGCGTGGGGACTTCCAGGCCTCGCTCCCGTGAGTCACAGCCACCCCCACCCTGACTCATGTCCCTTCCCAGAAGCTCCTCCCAGGCCCCCCATGTCCCATATCCGCAGGAAAGGACAGGCCATGGCTCTGGGCCCACCTGGGGAACCCCTCACTTGCCCTCAGCAGCCCGGGGCCACCTTCACTGCGTCAAGAGCTGAGCCTCAGGCCTCCAGGAGGGAAGGGATGGACAGAGCCAGTCTCGCCGTCTTTATTTTGTGCTCACCCTGGACAGCACTGGGCAGGCAGCTCCTGCCCACACCCAGCTTCAGCCCACTGGGGAAGAGCAGAACAATCGGCGGGCCCTGTGGGGGCTGTGCAGGGAGGGCCCCAGGACCAGCCTCACCCCCAAACAGGATGCAGGCCCAGCACAGCACTGATTCGGGGCCCCACAGAGAACCCCCCAGCCCACGCCAGGGGGGCCCAGGGCACAGCGTCACCTGGCTGGAGGAGGGCTCTGGACCCCACAAACACTCCCCAGCGTGCAGGTGTGGGGCACAAAACACTCCCAGCAGGACCCCTCAGCTGTTTGCATCAGTAAGCTTCCTCCAGGGGAGTTAAGATGAGGTAAAGCCAGGCAGGCCTCCTCAGCCCTGTCCTGAGGCTGCATCTGAACCCAGGGCCCCACTGGCCTTTGAGGACATGGCCTGGGTCTTCCTCAAGGCAAGTTCAGCCCCAGACCACCTCTCAGGTCACAGGGGGCAGAAGCCAGAGGGCAGCCATGGCCTCACCGACCTCTTCCTTGATGGGCTGGACAGGCAGCTACAGGATCTCCCAGAGGCCCCACGGAGCTGTCCCCACACAGCCCAAGCAAGCCTAAGCACTGGAGCCCCAACTCCCAACCAGGTCTCCCTCAGACCCCCCAGAATGGGCCTAGGAGGGCAGCAGCTGCACCCCGTGGAAGGGGCGCCAGAGGGCCTGGGCTAGCCAGGCTGCCTGGCTCCCCACCGAAGCCTCTGCTTCTCCAGACACAGAGGAAAGTTTGTCTTCGAGAAAACAAAGCAACAGAGGAACCCCAAAGCAAAGTAAACCCACCCCCCAGATGAGCAGCACGGGAGCCAACAGGAACCACTCCTCCAGCACCGGGGACCAGGGGACCAGCGTCCCCACGGCAGGCAGGCGGCGGGCGGTGCCTACGTGATGTCCCTCTGCCGGGGCGGCCGGTGCAGGTTTCGCACGACGCACTTCACCATCCACTCGATGCCCTCACGCACCCCCTTGCTGCGAAGACAGGGCTGTGAGGGGGCTGGCCTCGGTCCCCAAACCCCCGAAGGCGCAGCCCACTCACCCCGTGAGGGCGGAGCAGGCCTGGGTCAGGCAGTCCCGCCTGCCAATCTTGCCCGAGCAGTCGCTGAAGGCCGTCTTGATGTCAGGGATGGAGAGGCTCGTCTGGGGGAGGTGAGGCCAAGGCCGTAAGGAGCAGACCCCATGTCAAGGCCCTGTCCTGCCGGTGGGCCCGGGGCTCTCAGAAGGGCAACTGCCCTTCACCCCACGAAACAGGAGTCCGCCAGGTCCCAGTGTCTCCCACAGAGGCTACGGCGGTGAGGACCCTGTGCTCGGCCCAAGGCTGCATGCGGCTGCTGCCGCCCGGGACAAACTTTAGACGTCCTCCACGGCTCCAAGGAGCCCACTCCCATCCCCTCCCTGAGGGACACCTTGAGCCCTGAGGTGGCGATCCGAGGGCTGAGGCCTGGACAGTGCAGGAGGCAGGTCCTGGGGCCAACGAGGCGGGGGATGATAAAGGGGGGTAGGGGAGTCAAGTCACGCTGGCTTCTGCTTACACACCTGCCCAGTCCTAAAAGAGCAGCCCTCCCCTCCCCTTTCCTCCAAGGAGAGAACCCTGCCCCGTACCAGGTGTCCCTCTTGTCAGCTGAGATTATGGGGCAGGCCAGCCCTACAGGAGGGGGCAACAGAGCCCCCCCAGAGAAGGTGGGAAGTGAAGATTCACCCTGACCCTCAGGACGCCAGGCTGCTTCTGTCCAAAGCTCCTTTAAGAGGACAGCAAAAAACAGTGTGGCCAGTGCTCCCAGGGGCAGTGGCACCTCAGAGGGGTCTTGAGGGGCTGTCCTGGGGGGTGGGGCAGGCACAGATGCCAGGTGAGAACAGGTGAGGGTCAGAGTTGACCCTCAACGGGGCCCCAGCATCACTTCTCTGAGCTCCAAGTTTCACTGGAGTCTCTCAGCTCAGCCACACGCTCCTGAGGACAGGCACTCCTGAGGCACGGCCATCCATCCTCCAGGGGAGAGGGCCCTGGGCCTCCACACAGCTCAGACACACACTCCTGAGGACACGCACTCCTGAAGCACGGCCGCCCTCCGGGGAGAGGGCCCTGCATGGCAGGAACAGGCCTCTGGACGGCTGCCCTGGGGTGGGAGAACCTCCAGGGCTGGCAGTAGCACAGAGAGAGGAACTAGGCTGGGGAGCTGGAGGTCCCGGGTCTGCTGGAGGCAGGGTGGGCCTTGAGAATGGCTCTGTGCCCGCTGGGCTGTCACTGGGGCTGGGGTGTCCGGGTGCACACACTGTTCCCCTTGCGGGGGTTGGGGGGCACCTGTGCCTGCAGGAGCCTGGGGACTTGGGAAGCTGCTGCACGCAGGAGGCGGGGTGGGGCTCACCTCCACATCCTGCTTGTTGGCCAGCACCAAGACGGGGACACCGCACAGCGCCTCACTGGTCACCACCTTTTCTGGGGAGGGTAGGAGAGGCAGCACCTCACACCCAGCATCCTTCCTCTGACTACCCATGGGCCCACAGGCATGGACGCTGAGTCAGCTGCTTCCCTCCTGCCCCGCACGGAGCAGGAGCGCTTCTGACCGACAGTCACTGGGCCAGCCCCAGGCAGAGCTGCCCAAGCTGGATCTGCCCCTGCTTCCCATCCGTCCCTCCCAGAGCAGCCAGGCCACACTCACCGAACGCCTGCTTGGACTCTGCCAGCCTCTCCTCGTCCGTGGAGTCAATGACATAGATGACACCGTGACACTCTGCATAATACTGCAAACAGCAGGAGTTGAGGCTCAGTCCCCACCCTGCCAAGGGCCAGCAGGGCCAGGCCCATGTCACAGCCACTGTGAGGGGCTCACTTGAGGAAGGGGCAGGAGGGCAGCCCCCAACTGCAGGACCCTACTGGGATGCCTTCTGGGGGCTGCAGGGAGATCTGGGAGTGGAGATGCCCATAGGCATTCCTCCTGAGAACCTGCCTGCGACTTTTCACCCGACATTGGCCGGAGAAAAAGGTGAAAGGCAGGGATTGGGCCAGACATGGTGGCTCACACCTGTTACCCCAACACTTAGGGAGGAAGATCACCTGAGCCTCCGAGTTCAAGGCCAACCTGGGCAACAATGAGACCTCCTCTCTACAAAAGTTTATGGTAAATAAGCTTTTAGTCCTAGCTATTCAAGAGTTTGAAGTGGGAGGACGGCTTCAGCCTGGGAGGTTGAGGCTGTAGTGAGTTCTGATCATGCCACTGCATTCCAAGCTGGGTGAGAATGAAGCCCCATCTCAAAAAAAAAAAAAAAAAAAAAGACAGAGTTTGGGGGCGTGCACCTGTGGGGCAGGGAGGGAGTGTGGCCACGTGGATGACAAGCCTGACCAGCGCCACTGAGGAGCGAGGGACAGGGCCAGCACCATCTGCTAAGCGAGCCCTCCCTGCCAGGCCAGGGCCAGCGTCACTGCGCTCAGACCTCTGCAGGCGGGGTGTGGTCAGTCCTGGGCTCACTGGTGGCACTGCTGGGCAAGACAGGGCACATACCCTGTGGCCTCACACGAGTTCCAAGCCCCAGACCAGATGAGTTCATCTCTCCCCCAACCAGAAAAAAATGGGAGACTGCATCCACTGGAGCAGAGGACGGCTCACATCTGCCACTTTGCCTCCAGGCTGTGCCAGCTCTCCTGCCCAGAGACCTGGACTGGATGCTGACCAGGTAGGACAAGCTGGCGGTCAGTGTTAAGACACCCCACTGACAGCGTGAGAACCCAGAAGACACAGCCCAACTCTCCGAAATCCTTATATGTCCCGAGCAGGGAGAGCCAGACAAGCTTCTGCACCAACACTTCCCACAGCGGAGGGAAGGAAGCCCAAGGCCAGGCATCCTCCCGGGTTCTACAGACCGGTCCCACAGAAGCCACTACAGGCGGACCCTAAGGTGGAGACCGCTGTGGCAGGAGGGTTGGCTCCATGGAGGCTGCAGCAAGCCCAGTGAGAGAATCCCCATGGCCGTGCGGCCCCCGGGGCTTCTAAGCAGGGTGGCAGAAGGTTCACGTGCAACCAGGGTCCTGAACCATGGGACCGCGTGGCCAGAGCCACCATCACACCTACCAGGCACAGGGTGCACAGCCCAGCAGGGCCGAGTGCAGGCAGGACCCAAAGCCCCAGGCCCAGCAGAGGCATCACAGCAGTGGACCCTGTGGAGTACCCCAAAACGAGGGGGAAGAGGATGTCCAGGCGTGGCTCCTGGCTGGCCAGCTGATGAGTGGGGGCAGGCCAGAGGTGGGCAGCAGCTATACTGGCCTCTCTCAGGCAAGCCCTCCAGCGCCAGAGGCCAGGGCACGTCCTCACATGGAGCACCAGGCGGCCCGTCCCGTCCTGCTTCCGTGGGAAGTCATGGCCCAAGGCTGGCTCGTGGACAGGCCTGTGTTCAGCAGAGTGGGCACCGGAGGCTGGGAGTGGGCGTCTCAAGGCCTCCCAGGGCACCCGCCAGAGCCTCTCGGCTGGACGATGGACACACAGGTGGGGTACAAGCCCAGTGGGATGGGCTCCACTCACAAAGGGCGGAGGAACAACTGGCAAAGGCCCAGCCAGACACGAGCAGCACAGCTGACCCCACTGGGGCAATCAGAGAGACTGTGGGTCTGAGTTTGTCTCCCCAGCAGCAATGGGAGCTCCCCAACTGCAAAGTGCCAGCCAGCCTGAGACAGGCATTACAGCAAAGGACCCACACACGGACGCTGACCCAGGGTCCAGCACCAGGATGAGGCCAACTCCCAGTCAGAGCCCTTTCTGTGCTTGCTTCATGGTGGCCGTGCTGCACTGCACAAGGATGCAATGTCAGGAACCAGGTGGAAGCAGAAGCCTCCCTTCCGGCCTCTCCCAGTGACTCATGGGCGTCTCTGCTGCAGACCCTCCCGGCTCTGAGCTCAGCAGGGTCAGGGGTCCCGACCACTAGAGCAGCACGTGCTCAGCAGACACACTGAAGAACAAACCACAGCTGCCTCAGGGGCATAAGCTGCACCTTGTGTCTAGGGGACCCTGGTGAGCAGGAGACTGGGCTGCCATTCCACAGCTGGGGACCCAGGGAGCCACTGGCCCCACAGAGATGGTGTGTGGAGAAGGACTCAGACTGCCAGGAGGTCACACCCCAGCAGAAGTGCACTGCGGGGGGCACTCAAGGAAGAACGCAGCCCCAAGACCAGCTGCAAGGGTGGGCTATAGTGGCCCCTGGAAGCCTCCCTCCTCCAGCTTCCCCTCAAGAGAGGCCCTCAGGACCTTGGAGGAACCACTCCCCAATGTGGAAGGTGGTCCACTCAGGGCTGCGGCTGCGGCCAGTGCCGACATCCGCAGCCCCACTGTAGTCTTGCTTCATGCTGGAAACACTGCACCTGCAGGTGACCTCGTTTTAGGTTTCTGTGGGACCCACTTTGACTGCAAAGAGCCATGTTGCCAGGTCACACCTGCCCAGGGCAGCCCACAGACTGTGGTGTGACGTCCCAGCCATGGCCCCACGTGGCACAGAACGGCAAGCTTGCCTCCAGGTCTCCCGGCTGGTGCAACCACAGCTCCACAGATCCTGCTGCCGGAGTGGACCTCTCCTTGTCCCCACCGCCTTCCAGGTGCCAACCCCCAATGTGCATCCTGTACCTCAACCTCTGTCTCGGCGTCGCTGCCTGAGACACGAGCCTGTGACAAGAGCATCCTCACCCGTGTCACCCCCCAAGCGCGCTGGGCACTGGACACACAGGCTATGACCAGCTTGTCCTGTCTGACTTACGTGGCCCCAGAGGATCTATCAAAGGTCACTTGGCCATGGGAGAAATGCCCTCTTGGCTAGAAGTCAGGGCAGGAGGGGACGCTTTGGTGGGGCCTAGGAAAGGGGGCCTGGGATCAAAAAGGAGATCAGGACCTGGGCACTCAGCTCTAGAGATGGCAGCCAGCAAGCATTAGGGCAGCCAAGGCACTGGGCGCCCCAAGCCCACTGTGCCAGCCTCAGGCAGGGAGCCCCCGAGGAAGGCAAGGCTCTGTCCTGCTCAGCGCTGGAGTCAGTGCTCAGCCCAGGCTGGGGCTGTGGAGGAGGGACACCACACTGGGATCTCAGAAATGTCCAATTTTGACATGCTCAGCTGACATGCTGAGTAACGAACCACATTACCCACAAAGTGGGTGACGAAAGGTGCTGAGGAAGAGACCAAAGGGTGCACTCTTTGAAAGAAATGGACTGGAGGGCAGGGTGGGGGTGGTGCTGGGCAGGGAGCCTTACCTTGTCCCACAAAGACTGCAGCTCTTCCTGGCCTCCTAAGTCCCAGAACATGAGGCGAGCCTTTCCCACATCCACAGTGCCGACTGGGCGGGGGGGAGAGGGGGGAACGGGCAGGGCTTGCAATCTTGGTCCCTGACACACCAAGTCCCAGCTCTCTCTTGGGGGATGGAGCAACCACTCTGGGGCCACTCAGAAGGGACTTGAGAGGGGCTGACAGGGCTCTGGCCACTGGCCAGATGGCCTGTGAACATCACAGCATCCTCAAGGTCCCAAACCCACAGCCCTGCTATTCAGACCCCTTACTGTTGAGACCCACGGTGGTGGTGATCTTGGATAGACTCATCCCCTTGTAGTTCTTGTTAAACCGGGTTTTCGACTGCTCCAGGAAGGTCTGAGGAGACAGCGGGGCAGACACATCAAATGGGGACCACAGCGGTTTCCCAAGTCTTTTTCCCAAATATCCTTACTCAGGCCTGCTCCTTAAAAGACAAAAGACAGAAACAGAGCAATATTCTGCTCTTCAAGAAGCTGGCGGTGACCACCCTGTCTTCTCAGAAGTCTGGATTCTGTCTGGGTGGTGAGCATGCAGCCGACACCGGGCCGTGGGGAGGGGCTCAGGCGAGGGAGGGGGCGCTCACCGTCTTCCCAGCATTGTCCAGGCCCAGGATCAGGATGCAGTACTCGTCCTTCTGAAACATGTACTTGTACAGGCCGGACAGCAGCGTGTACATCCTGCCCTGGACACCCGACAGATGTCACTGCGCAGCCAGAACGCACCTCCCCGCCCCGAGTTTCTCCACGGCGGTCGGTGGGGCCGCACGTCCAGCTGACCCCTCCGGACTAGAACCCGGGGCCGTTCCCGCCTCCTCATCTCTCTCCCACCCCATCCCTCTGAGACTCTTGTGCCCCCGTAACGTCTCCCAGATCAGCCACCGTCCGTCACTCCGGCCCGCGGGACCACCCCGCCCCGCGGGACCACCCCGCCCCGCGGGACCACCCCGCCCCGCGGGACCACCCCGCCCCGCGGGACCACCCCGCCCCGCGGGACCACCCCGCCGGCGTTCACACGAGCTCGGCCGCGCCCCCGCCCTCCCCCCGGCGTCGCTCCCACGCTTCTCGCGCGCGGAACGGGGAACGCACTGGCTGCAGCCCCGCCTGGGCACAGCGCCCTCGGGCGTCCGGCCCCGCGCCCCACCGAGTAGCAGCCAGGAGCCCCTGCAGGCGCCGGCGGGGGCGGGGGCGCCCCAGCACCCCGTTTCTTAAAACCGGGACGGCCTGTGGGGAGCAGACCCGCAGGCAGCGCGCGGCGGGCGGGGACGGACTCCGCGGAGGAGGAACTGCGGTCGGGGCCCCGGGCTCCGGCGGCTGCACGTCGCGGCCGCCAGGTTCGAGGCTCGCCGACAAGCGGCCAAAGCCGCCTCCTGCCACACCCGCGTCCCGACCTCGAGTCCAGGGCCGCCCCTCGGGCCTCGGGCCCCCGCGCAGCCCGCGACCCACCTGCGTCCGCCGCGGCCTCTAAGCCGCCGCTGCTGACCCCGCACCGACCCCGCGCGGCGCCTGACGGGACGCGGGCCGGCCTCGGGGCAGGAGCTGAATCGCGTCCCGGCGGCCTCTGCGCTCCGCTTCCCGGCTGCCACCGCGCGCCGGGCACTTCCGGAGGCGGTGGCGCCGAGAGGAAGTGCCGGTCGGCGGCGAGGGCCAAAGCGGGCGCCGGGCCGCTCTAGCCGGTGAGGCCGGCGGGCTCTCTATGGCGGCGGCCGGGAAAGCGCGCGGAGGAGGTGCCCGGCCCGGGGCGAGGGGGCAGCGGTTTGCGGGGACGCGGCCCTGGCCGGGCGGGGGGCGCCGGGCGGGGGGCTGCGGGCGCGGCGGGTGCGCTCGGCGGGGGGCCGGGCGGGGTCACCCTGCGGGGAGGGGGTGACGCGGGACCCGGCTGGCAGCGAGCCCGGGGCGGCTCGGAAGGGAAGCGCGGAGCCCGAGCGGGGGTACCCGGGCTGCGACCTCCGCGCCGGGAGCTGTCGCCCCGAGCCGGTGTCTCCGCCAGGGCAAGGGGACGTGCCCGTGCCCGCCGCAGGCCGTGGTGGCGGCTGCGAGACCCTCGCTCCGGGTCGGGCCCGAGACGCGGGCTCAGCGCGCTCCTCTTCCCGCAGCTCCGGCCCAGCGCCTGCCTCGCTCAGCATGGACGAGGACAGCCTGGAGGCCGCCCTGCAGACCTACCGTGCGCAGCTGCAGCAGGTGGAGCTGGCCCTGGGCGCCGGCCTGGGCTCGTCCGAGCAGGCCGACCTGCGCCAGCTGCAGGGGGACCTGAAGGAGCTCATCGAGCTCACCGAGGCCAGCCTGGTGTCTGTGAGGAAGAGCAAGCTGCTGGCCGCGCTGGACCGAGAGCGCCCGGGCCAGGAGGATGCTGAGTACCAGGCTTTCCGGGAGGCCATCGCCGAGGCGGCGGAGGCACCGGCAGCCCCTGGCGCTGGATCGGAGACCGTTCCTAAAGCAGAGACGGGGCCAGAATCCAAGGCAGGGGGGCAGCAAGAGGGAGAGGAGGAGGAAGAGCTGAGTGGGACCAAGGTGAGCGCGCCCTACTACAGCTCGTGGGGCACCCTGGAGTATCACAACGCCATGGTGGTGGGCACAGAAGAGGCGGAGGATGGCTCGGCGGGTGTCCGTGTGCTCTACCTGTACCCCACGCACAAGTCCCTGAAGCCCTGCCCGTTCTTCCTGGAGGGAAAGTGTCGCTTCAAGGAGAACTGCAGGTAAAGCCCTTTGCTGCCAGATGGCAACCTCGAGGCGCACGGGGCGCGCACACAGGGTCGGTCACGATCGGCCCTCCCTTGCAGTTGGTCTGTTTCCGGGGGCAGGCGGGCTGTGACAGCAGTGTCCTTGTTTAGGCATCTACCTCCTTCTTCTGGGATAAAAGCAGGGAGCATGGAAGGAGGCTAAGCGCGGTGGCCCACGCCTGTAATCTCAGCACTTTGGGAGGCCCGGGGGGGAATCACCTGAGGTCAGGAGTTAGAGACCAGTCTGGTCAACATGGCAAAACTTCATCTCCATGAAAAGTACAAAAATCGGCCAAGCGCAGTGGCTCACGCCTGTAATTCCAACACTTTGGGAGGCCCAGGCGGGCGGATCACGAGGTCAAGAGATGGACACCATCCTGGCCTACATGGTGAAACCCCGCCTCTACTAAAAATATAAAAACCTGCTGGGTGTGGTAGTGTGTTCCTGTGATCCCAGCTGCTCCGCAGGCTGAGGCAGGAGAATCGCTTGAGTCCAGGAAGTGGATGGAGGTTGCAGTGAGCCGAGATCACCAGTGTCGAGTGTCGAGCCGCACTACACTACACTCCAGCCTCGTGACAGAGTGAGACTCCGTCTCAAAAAAGAAAAAGTACAAAAATCAGCCAGGCGTGGTGGCAGGCACCTCTGGTCCTAACAACTCAGGAGGCTGAGTCAGGAGAATCGGTTGAACCCGGGAGGCTGAGGTTGCAGTGAGCCGAAATCCAGCCCCTGTGCTCCAGCCTGGGCGACAGAGAGAGGCTTATGTGGAAGCAAATAGGTCCCCAACCTATTGTCAGTTTGGTTTATTTGTTTTTTTGAGACAGGGTCTTACTTTGTCACCCAGGCTGGAGTGCAGCCTGGACTTCCTGGGCTCAATTGATCCTCCTGCCTCAGTCTCCCAAGTAGCTGGACTGCAGACGCACACTATCACACCCAGCTAATTTCTGTATTTTTAGTAGAGGTGGGGTTTTGCCGTGTTGCCCAGGCTGGTTGCACACTCCTGAGCTCAAATGATCCACCCTTTCTGGCCTCCCAAAGTGCTGGGATCACAGGCGTGAGACACTGGACCTGGCCCTGTTGTCAGTTTTATTCTCTAGAATTCAACTTTTAAAATGTACTTTAATGGAAATTTTGAAACCTGCCCCAGATGAGAGAGCCTAGCACAATCACTGCCGCAGTCTGTTATCATTTGCCAGTCTCGTTTTGTCTGTTCCCCTGCCCCACTTTTTCCCTTCCTAGATATTTTAAAGCAAATTTCAGAAGGTACTGGGTTTTTCCAACTATGAATACTTCGGAGTAGGTCTCTGATAAGGAAATTGCTTAAAAAGTAACTTTTTGGAAGTCCAAGTCAGTGTGAAGACAGAGTCACTTCCACGTCATTGTAGATAACGCATTTCACGGCAGCACCTCCCCCACGTTCAAATATCCACAGCTGTCATCGTGATGTCTCCATTTCCGGAAGCGCATAGCTTTATTTTTGCTCCTTTTTACTTTTCTCCGGGAAGAAATATTTACCAAGCTTTCTAGTAGGTAATTTTCTTTTTTAGCCAACAGTTCAGGCTGACCAGGTAACACCCCCAGTTCTTTGGATGTCTTACTTTATGTGTTGTTTTGTTTTTGTTTTTTTTTAATAGGGTCTTGCTGCTCTGTCACCCAGGCTGGAGTGCAATGGCACAATCTCAGCTCACTGCAATCTCTGCCTTCCTAGCTCAAGCCATCCTCCCACTTCAGCCTCTCTGATAGCTGATCCTACAGGCGTGCATTGCCATGCCCAGCTAATTTTGGTATTTTTTGTAGAGACAGGGTTTCAGCATGTTGCCCAGGCTGGTCTCAAACTCTCGATCCCCTCGATGAGAGATCCGACACATCCCTGTGGTGCTTCCTTTGGGCCAGGCACTGCTCCAGGAGTTTCACACGTGTTCATTCATCTGTGCAGCAACCCCTTAGGTAGGCCCTGCAGTCACACTGTTTGACAGAGGAGGAAACAGTAATAAAAGAACTGAGTGACCGGCCCAAGGCTGTGAGGCTCAGAGGGCTCCGAGCCGTCCTCAGCCCTCGTCTCGTTCCCCTCTCCACGGTGCTGCTTGCCGTATCAGCGTCAGGCCTAATCTGAAGCCTTCTGAAGAGTCTTCCAGACGCCCACCTTGCCACCACTTGGGACTGATAAGTTCTCTTGGATTTGCCTTGGACTCTTTTTTTTGAGACAGGGTTTCGCTCTTGTTGCCCAGGCTAGAGTGTGATGGCACGATCTTGGCTCACTGCAGCCTTCACCTCCTGGGTTCAAGGGATTCTCCTGCCTCAGCCCCCTGAGTAGCTGGGATTACAGGCATGTGCCACCACACCCGGTTAATTTTTGTGCTTATTAGTGGAGACAGGGTTTCACAATGTTGGCCAGGCTGGTCTCAAACTCCTGACCTCAGATGATGCACCTGCCTCGGCCTCCCAAAGTGCTGAGATTATAGGCGTGAGCCACTGTGCCCAGCCAGCGTTGGATTTTTTTAAATAAATAATAAGAGGCTGGGCGCGGTGTCTCACACCTTTAATCCCAGCACTTTGGGAGGCTGAGGCAGATGGATCACTTGAGCCCAGGAGTTTGAGACCAACTTGGGCAACATGTTGAGACCCCATCTCTACTAAAAATACAAAATTAGTCAGGCATGGTGGTGGGCACCTGTAGTCCCAGCCACTCGGGAGGCTGAGGTCAGGGCATCACTTGCGCTCAGGAGTTCAAGACCAGTCTGAGCATCTTGGAAAAACTCCGTCTTTATAAAAAATTAGCCAGGTGTAGTGACACGTACTTGGCTAATTTTAGTCCCAGCTCTTTGGGAGGTTGAGGTTGGAGGGTCACTTGAGCCCAGGAGTTTGAGGCTATAATGAGCCGTGACCATGCCACTGCACTGCAGTGTGGGAGGAAGAGTGAGACCCTGTCTCAAAAATAAAAAATAGCGAGGCATGGTGGCCTGTGCCTGTGGTCTTAATTACTCTGAAGGATCACTTGAGCCAGGAGTTCAAGGCTACAGTGAGCTGAGATTGCGCCACCGCACTCCAGCCTGGGTGACAGAGACCCTGTCTCAGCAAAAAATACAATAAGAGGCTGAATGTGGTGGCTCACACCTGCCATCCCAGCACTTTGGAAGACTGAGGCAGGTGGATAACCTTAGATCAGGAGTTTCAGATCAGCCCGGCCAACATGGTGAAACCCTGTCTCTACTAAGAATACAAAAAATTAGCTGGGCATGGTGGTGCACGAATCTAGTGAGGTGTGATGCTCCTGGCTCTGCTAAAGGAGGAGAATCACTTGAAACCGGGAGGCAGAGGTCGCAGTGAACCGAGATCACACCACTGCACTCCAGCCTGGACAACAGAGCAAGACTCTGTCTCAAAAAAAGAAAAGAAAAACATGTTATAAATAGTACAGCTAATGTTGAAGTAGCCTTCACACTTCCCCTCCACTCCACCCTCACATTCTCTTCTCCCTCCCGAGAGGCGGCTGTGATCACAGCTTTGGTGTTATTTCTTTCCAGCATACGGGCACATGTCATTTAACAGGAACACAGGTGATTTCATCATTGTTTGAACGTTGTAGAGTACACGTACACACACCTGGACGGTAGCGTCCCCTGCAGACCTGGGCTGTGTGGAGTCTGTTCTTGGCTGCAAACCTGCACGCTGAACTAAACATGCAAATGTAACACTGTGGTAAATATCTGTGTCTAAACAGAAAAAAATACAGTAAAAATATGGTATAGAAAGATGTGAAATGGCACCCTTGTATGGAAAACTTATCCTAATTGGAGTTTACCGGACTGGAAGGTGCTTGGGGTGAGTCAGTGAGCGAAGGTGAAGGCATGAGTCGTTACTGGACAGC